ATCACCACCACCACCATCATCATCACCACCACCACCACCACCATCATCATCATCATCACCACCACCATCATCATCATCATCATCACCACCACCACCATCACCACCACCACCACCATCATCATCAACACCATCATCATTACTATCTTCATCATCACCATCATTACTACCATCATCATTGTTACCATCATCATCACCATTCTCACTACCACCACAATCATGATCACCACAACCACCATTGTACAAGCAGAATTACATACAGTGTACAGTACTTCAAAGATATATAATTGCTTATCTGCATAATTTACAAATACATGAACATTATAATTTATATCAATAATTACGAAGTTTTTCCAAACTGATCTCGGACTGAACTGCTGCAAATATATTCCATTACACTATGAATGTATATTTACTATTAAGAATATTATGTAGAATAAAGTATATACAATTTATATGCAGCAGATACTCAAAACCCTGTCGATGCAAACTCACTGTCAATAGCCAGCGGATCTAAGTGTTTGTCATTCTTTGACTGTAGTTTTAAGAACGGCAATAGTTTCCTAAAAGTCACTTTAAACACAGCTCTGAACTCAGAATTATGAAACGTGTAGATATACGGGTTTAAACAAGAGTTGAACTGAGGCAAAGTATATAAGAATAACAGGCCAAGTATTTCTTGTGTTTTTCGTGGTAGACTGTTTATATACTGCGGCACAAACTGTTGCATAATCATGAGCACGAATAGGGGTAACCAACAAACAAGAAACGCTCCTACAACAATCATCAAAGTTTTTGTCGCTTTCAGTTCACGTATTGCAAATCGTCTTGGACTAGTTGGTGCCCGAGATTGCCGAGAACGCAGCCGTTCAGCTTGTTCGCCGACTTCGCAACCCCGCGGAGTATTATAATTGTTGTTCATGATCTTGACTCGTTGTTCCAGTGCGATTTTGAACACCAGGCAGTACAGCACGATCAGTATTATCAGTGGAATAATAATCCCCAATATGGTCGAGACAATATAGTAGAGTTTATCTATATTCTGGCAGAATTGGGTATATATAAACTTGCCATCCGACGACCACGTATGTAACGAGAACGCGGCGAGTGTGAATGAAAATCCCCAAACAGCTGCGATCAAGATGCGACACCTTGAGACCGTTAGGATCGTAAGATACCTCAAAGACTGCGAGAGAGCAAGGTAGCGATCCACGGAGATGATGGATAGGTTGACTATGGATGCTGTGCTACACAGTAAATCCATAAATATCCAGAATCTACAAGCATGTTCCCCGAGCTGCCATTCTGTGTTGAGTTCGAAGTAGATGCGAAAAGGAATGGCAAGCAGGACAACCAGAATATCAGATACGGCTAAGGAGACGAGGAAATAGTTGGAGACTTTTTGTAAACGTCGTACTTTATACACAGCCATACAGACGAAACCGTTTCCAAATAAAGCCGCTATGATCACAAGGATGAGAAACCCGGAATGAAAGCGTTCCCAAAAACGCGAATATGTTATTGGTGCTATTGTTGTTGCATTGTCTGCCATGATTTTGCTTTCTAGTTGTACTTGATGACTGTATACGAACTATAGTTCGTCTCAAGTTGTTCGTCTCAAATTGTTTGCTCTATATTTAGAACGAAGACTTGCGTAATGCTGTTCTTTTTATAGTGTTTGTAGATATCTTTATATAATGTCTTCTTCACAAAATATTTCCCGTCGGTAGCTGTCTTTATTTTTACTTCAATTTCTGTTATACCCTCTTCACAAATCCCAACGATCTCTGTGGGAATACGTTTTAGCGCAAAACGTCTTTCACAAGTAGTACAACTTGATTCCACGAAACTTGATATAGTTTGGGTGTATAATAGGCTTACAAATTATCCAGCTCTTTCGTGTTGTGAACAGTTTCTTTACACTACTAAACTTGCTTCTTCTAACAAATTCCTTCAGAACCTCTCGGTTGTATGAAACACACTCGGAGAAGTGCTGTGGTGTGTCTGTTTCTATATTGAACGTTTGTTTTACATACGTTTTCAATACAAGTGTCCTTTACATCACAGCTGTTTCGAATCCTTAATCCTATAAGCGAATGATTTAGATAATTGCACTTTACTCTTAGCTTTGCCGTCAAATTAGATGATTTAATTTATATTGTCTCCATGTTTTCTCAAGGAAGGAGGGCTGTATAAGTGTCGAAATGAAAAACGCCAGAATATTCGATGAATAATTGATAGAGCTCACTTGAAAGTGCCTTTTAAAATTGAAAACTTAAGTGTCCAGTCTGCAAAACTGTTTTGCAAATTACAGCTGCACTCTTTTCCGTAAAAATCAGCCCAAATATTAAATAAGACCCCCAAACCGTCCAATTTCAGGGTTAATGTTCCGTCAACAATATGGAATATTAAATTGCATCCCAGTCGCACGTATAATAAGACAACGTTATGAAACTTTACGAATCAATTAGATCCTTGGAGCATCTGTTTCAAAAAATAATATTGTCATCAAGCTTGCTTGTATTGTATGATTAATATCGTTGCGCACACGCAGTAATGTTATTACATTTACGCCTCTTCAGTTAAACAATCCGCGTGTAATCCGTAATTGTTATACTATCTGGAGTATATATTGATGACAATCCCTCTATTTGGATGTCAGCCTTTAATGGTTTTCAAACGTAATGTTTTTCTTTATATCTTTCCTAGTCTTTTAACGTATACGTTACTGTTTGCGCGACGTAGAATGAGGGAAAATCCTTTTTGATTTGCGTTAATAGCTCTTTTGCATGTAATCCGTATAATAGTTTGTTCTTTAGTGTATCTCGATCTAAACGCACAATTGTTCAAACGAGTCCCGCAAATAGCGACGATTAAAGATGTGCATATAATTGTTTAATCCAGCACTGTTTGTCTTTAATGTATCTTTGAAGATCTTCAACGCAATGGAAATATTGCAAACTTTAATAATTTACACGTCGTATAATATTAAAGAAATCCTTTTGATGTTGCGCGTATCTTTTCCACCCTAATTGTTGCTATAGTTATAAATGTTCCTTTAAGCAATCCTTTCTGTCACGCAGTTTTAATTTCTCTCCTGTGTGTCCGCGGCTAAAGCCACTTCCAATCAAACAATCGATTATTATTACAATCAATTAATTCCTTCGTCTTGCGCAATGAGGAATCAAATCTTCACGTTCAACTTGTTTAAGCGTACTTTCTCTGCGGCTAAAGCCACTTCCAATCAAACAATCGATTATTATTACAATCAATTAATTCCTTCGTCAAATCTTCACGTTCAACTTGTTCAAGCGTACTTTTGTCGTTTAATAATCAAGGTCCCAAACTCAAATATTTGTCTGCCGCTTAAATATAGGACAGTATTTAAAAATCTTTATATCCCGCAGATTGATCTTCGAAGTTCGATATCGCCTCTTTTGACTTCGAAACACCAGTGTATTGCAAAGGTAAAATCACGGACAAATTCCAAATGATCCAATAAGATACAACAAAATCTCAACCTTTCTTCTTTCACACTATGTACTAACCAATATAACTGATCCGACAGGCGTTTCCTTCTCTTATACCAAAGCTAGCAGTCCAACCAATTAGATTCACTTGGCAAGAGTTTCAATTGTTCAATTCCTGGCGGTTCCTGTGGCACGACTCTTGGAGGCGCGTTCAAACGATCGGTCAAGCAAAACTGTTCAATCCCAAAACTATGTTGATTTTTCAATTATTCAAAAATCCGAACCGGTATAGTCCAACGGAAACAAAGTATATCTTAGATAATGCCGAGACCCACTCAATAATGCAAAGATTGTATATCCCTTGCACTCGATCTTTTCAACGCTAACAGTGTACACCCCTCGCGCCGTTTGGAACAGGTTATCCAGTGAATTCAAACTGGGAGACCACAGTACTAAAGTGTATCTCACACGATATCCCTTTTTTACAACTGCAGAGTTTTGACTTGTTCAGACTTGATAGTTTTTTAAGCTGTACTTTGACGCAGTATAGACTCCTGATTGCCTGATGCGATTCAAGGTATTCAATATAAGCACAGGTCTCGTTGAAACCAATCAATTACTCCCACGGTTTTGACGAGTAATTGTGCAACCTTGTTAACAGAATCGGATCAAATCCAGATGTGTTTGACGTGATTTAACCAACCCACGTTATCAAATCTGTAATGTGTATTAATAATGTCCGACAATGTATGGCGATTTCTGCGATTTGAAAACCCTTAGATTATTAGACTTGTGTTAGAGAATGTTTGTATCCGTGTTGGCAGTCTTTTAGCAGAGAATATAGAGTACACTTTGATTCAGGAACTACAGTGCTAAACAATACAGGACCATGTATATACTCTTTTATGTACAAGTTGCAATCCTATATATGATATGGTTAGGAATGCAAAGATCAACTCTGTTAACTTATTTGTCTTGTTCTCGAGTAAAGAAAGTATTGCACAGTTACACGAGCGATATGATTCGCCTCGATATGCTTCGAGAATTCCCGCAGTGTCGGAAGTTTTGATTTCTATGATAACAATGGAACAGCAATTCAAAGATAAAATAACAGTTGAAGTTGAACTTGACTGACCAATTCACTTTCTGAACCTGTATGGCCAATGCCTTGAACTATTGTATTTATAAGTTGATTGATGTGAACAAACAATCTAATCCTGTGATTCAAACCGACTCGAGCTGTCACCGTATAGAATGTATCTTCGGTGATTCCAAATTAATCCTCTAATCCTTGTGTGTATCGAAACAATTTGTGTTGCCAAAAATACCTACACGACTTGGCCAATAGTCTTGTAAGCCAACTATGTCACCAAAATTAACGTTAGTACACCAGCCTGAATTCAACAACTGAACAAACAAAACACTTCAATTAGGTTCAAGTATCTCATATAAAATTCCAGAATTTTAAATCCAACCGGTGTGGCTCTTAAATAAGCCTGAAAGGAATCCAGCCAAATATGTCAGCAGTTCTTCTTGTAGTTGCGGAAGTGTAGTTTTATACGTACACACAAGAGGCAAACGTCGCGCACGTTTGGTCAGATGAATATAACAAATGTTTCACAATTATGTACAAAGAAGTACAATGTACAATATAAAGGTACAAGTGATTTCAAGGAAGGAAAATCCCACTTCAATATGCATACAATATGTCAATCGTCTTATCAGTTCGAAGCTCGCCCACTGACTGTACGATGTCTGGAATAGCAAGCCCAGAATTTTACTTTGTAACGACAACTGCGCAAATACCGTCAGAAAACCAGGACGACTTGAAGGTTACCTACGCTTCCAAACAATAGCTTTGTGAACAGGACCAGGTTAAATTGACGCCAGTGTACAAGCTGTGCCCAGGAAGTGAACCAACAAATAATCGCGTTTCACTACTTGCAACTTCGGTGCAAGTTTAATAATTAGTCCTGCAGAAAATGAAATGAATAAAAGATGTCCGATCTTAAATATCATATACTTGTCAACTTCAATTTAGTTGGCTGAAGCAGGAATCCAAATATTCTAAACAAATAGAGAGGTCGATGTAAAACTTGAATGCTATATTTTAAATTTTTATTCCAGTATCTCTGCGATGTTCCTGCACACAAAGTGAATATAGGATAGATGGAATCTTTAATGCAATATGCTTGCCACACTCTCTGAAGTGCAACAGAAATGCAAATTCAATATCAACAGCAATTTCGTAATGTACGAGATATTTTTAACATGCGCTATTTGTCTACGTAAAAACCTTTCAACAACCCGAGCGCATCTGGATGCAATAATCATTCAAGCCAACAACCTAATCATCCACATATGACGTATAGAGCGAAACCAACGAAAGCATTGACAGAAATATAGTGACGTTATCAAGCTTTTACACACATTGGAATTGCATGCACATATCGGACGTTTAACAGAGCTCTTAGTCTATAAACTGTGAACAGAGCTAGAATAATATCAGTGTACATACGTTTTGTCCTCCACAATACCGAGAAAGCCAATTGTTCTCAGCAGAAGTACCAACTTTGAAGTATTAACGGAGTTATATGTTATCCACTTTTATATATACCGCTTCGCCACATCTGAATATTTCATCGACAATATTTGTGGTTTATTCTGCTAAAATAACATGTACGTAGTGGATAAGAATCTAACCCTTGATATAGATATAATCTTTCCATATAAACAAATGTTATCCTGATGAATTTTATATATGTGACAGATACGTTAGTATTAGCAACAAAACTATGCGGCGCTGAATATTTTAAGCCGTACTTAACCGCTATACTCTTCGCAAACACACATGTTTTTCTACGTATTATATCTTCATGTAGTGACGACATGGACTGGGATGTGTTTGAATAGAAAGAGAAGCGTGATTTATGTCTCGACAGTCGGCTCTTTTTGGGTGTTTTTTTGTATACTCACTATTTATCAAATATTAATCACTGATATGTAAATTTTATATAATGGATTAATGTTTTGCAAGCATGAACAGTTTTATAAATGTAACATTTTTACCGCAGCATACGCGAGGCTTCATGATGAATACAGAGAGCTCTGTATGTTATGATATCAAGACTGTGGGAATTGGTTGTAAAGTTTTGTAGTCTGTTACAGAAAGAGCGCAGAAAACTAAGTCCACGGCTCTATCTGTTTAACCTTCATGTCTATATATGTGTTTTTAACTTTCATGTATAAAGGCTCGCTAAAATGCACTACTATAAACGGTTATTTCAAAACAGCAAACCGACCACCAAATCTCTTTATGTTCAACTTTGGCGGACACTAGGGGGGGGGGGCAACCGCACCCATCCCAATAACTTTTGAAAGGTGTTAAATGATAGTTTTATAACTGTGTACTAACAAAGGTGTAACAATAATTTTAATCAAGAAAGCATTAGTATAGGCTATAAATTAAGCTAAATTTTGCATCAAATTGAAGGCCAAAAAGTGAACTAAGATTTACAGTTAATGACAACCTTGACTCTCCTCCCCCACCCTACCCACCCACCCCCACCAGGCCACGAAAGATTTCCATGTTCAAATCGCGTTGATACATTTCAAAACGTGCACATGTCTGCACTTAGTTACACCATTATGATGTTATCAGTATTGACATGTCACGGAATTATCGCATAATCTGAAAAGCCGAAAGTTAACATGGCACGAGATTGGATGTATAGATGTATATTGCAACACACACGGTTTTAATCATCAAGTATTTATGTCTTTTTGTGTTTAATCATTACTTTGCAACGTAACTGTGTGTATTGAATAATGGTTTGAGGCTTGGTACACGGGCCTTTCATTTCTGCAACGAAGAGCTTCGGTTAGCCTTTCTCAAAATCCGCCATTTGGGGGTACAGTCTGCCCTTGTGAAAGATTCTAGACATTTCAAACAACGTGAAAAGCGACTTTCACAAGTTGTAACTGTAAATTTACCAATGTACAAACAACTACAATACTAAAAAGTTGTATTTCCTAGTGCGGAGACTCTCAAACGTGGGTCACCTCAGTGACATGTAAGAACTAAGAAGAGTATTGACTGAGGCTAAATCTGAAAGAGCTATCCAATCAATAAATAAAGTTAGAGTTTGGTTTCCATGGAGAACAGTGCGCAGAACTGATAGAACAATCCAGTAATATGATCAAATTAGTTTAGTTTAATAGGACAGGCACTTGTGTCGGCATTCTAGACAAGAGCACATGCAGAGTTAAACATAATCGAAAAAATTTAATCTAAAATTATAATCTAAGTTTTGACTACACGCCTGGGTTTCTTATAATTATATATTTGCGTAGTTTTAATGTTCTTCCCAGTTGTTGCCTTTTCTGTTGAATGATCAATGGAAAGATTAAAAAATAATCAAAAATAAAACATGCATCCCACACGATTTTAATCGATCAATTTCGATTCTTGCGCCCGTATTCTAAAAGCTCACTCACACTCAATGAGTGGAGGTTCAATCTGAGCTTCCCTTGAGTGTCGATGCTGTTTTTGAATAGCTGGAGGGTTTGTGTCATACCTTACTATGTGACTACTCACCCTCCAGCTATTCAAAAACAGCATTGACACTCAGCGACACGAAAAACGCAGATTGAACCGAGTGAGCTTTTAGAATATGGGCGTTTCTGTTGACTTTGAAAAGGATAGGAACCTTGAGGGTCATGCTTTTGACTTGAAGAAATTTTTTTCACTGCCGTAAAATGTCGTTGAGACTAACTCGTATCCAGTCTCTCATCCCGCGTTGAAAGATGGGAATGCATACAATTTTTATTGAGAGCATTCCCATGGTCCTTTGCGCCTTCCTGCAGACTTTCCAACTTCCGCGATGTTATGATCTTTAAATTTTTTTTGTCTAAGCAAATTTGAGGGAATGTGAGTCGCCCGTTGAGGTATGAAATACAGGTGTACTCACGTATTTGGGAAATTTTGCCCATTTAGATTTCATTCATTCGACTAAACTTTGCTATTTTAATCTGAAAATCCAAATAGATTGGTTTACCCAAGTGTGCCCAAGCTTAATTGGGAGGATGAACTATACTGGGGTTGAAACAAACCATTCGCGGGGGCATTTTGACAGCCAGTGAACACAGCTGCTGTCTATCCGTCAACTCAAAACAGAACACGCAGTATATCCATGAGAAACATGCATCTTAATAACATTGTATTTTACATAATTGGCCAAGAGCTGCTTTTCAACGGTTGATTCAATATCAAACGGTGAATTCAAGAAATGTAATTTGACATAGTGTTGAGCGGTTCCCCGAAAATGGGCTATATGGGTGGTTTGATTTTGCTACAAATCTAATGTGTCAATTGTGCAGACTGTAAGAACTATGTCTATAATCTTACAGTCCTTATCAAAACCTTTGTAAGTACACCATATTTGAATTCTCTCCCTTTGGGAATTCGAATCTAGGCAGTGCTTCAAGTCTACATAGCTTCAAGTCTACATATGAGTTCATATTCTTAAGGCGAGCGTACCCAACTCATAACATTGCGTAATTATTACAAGATGCAATTGCGTACGTGCTTCTTTCTGCTGACTTGTGGTTAATCTTTGTTGTTGAAATATAATTAAATTCGGCCGCTCCTAATGTCCACAAGTAATTAACAATCATCGTTTGTGTTTTATAAGTGAAAATTACGGGGTTTCGCCAAGCCGGAAGCATTTTTTCAGCTGTTTTAGACAGAGCAGTTTATGAAAAAACCTTCTTGGCAACAGCAGGTGTTTAAATGAAACACACGGTGTTCTTTATTTAAACACGGCAAAACAAGGACAGAAAGCGCCAGGTCTGCCAGAAGTGACCCTTTACGTCATAAACGTAGAGCACCATTTTGTTCGATATGCGTCAAACTTTCAATTAAGCAAATACTATAGGTGCCATCCTTATGACTTTTGCATTATGTTCTCCAAACTAAAATAAACATTTGGTTTCTTAATTATCATGAAAAGCTTACACAGACACGCAAACTTGAATTTCTGCATATATTACATTCATATATGCATTGTTGTATCTACCTGACTGGACATGCAATTCATGTTCATAATATGAGATCATAATTAATTTAGTCCACAATGTTTAACAATTATTCGCCGAAGGCGAGTGATTATCGGGGAATATTCGCCGAGACGAAGTCGAGGTGAATATTCCCCGATAATCACCGAGCCTGAGGCGAATAATTGTTTTAGTATTTTTACACAAGCTTTTGTGTTTTTTGAGACGGAATTTATTTTAATTTCGCTTATTTCTTTGTCACAGTAAACTTTCACAAGACGGGTAGCCGCCATTTTGAAAATTTCTGTTTTGTGAATATAACAGCTTATTGCGTCAAATTTGACCTATCAACTTGTAGGATTTGTTATGTTCACTTGTGTAAAACACCAGTGTTATATAGATATTAATAATTTGTGGCTTATAATCTAGTTCATTCAAATACGAACCACGGCAGCTTACGGTAGAATATTATAGGGACCTTAAACATGTGTAGGACGGAACGCGATGGCAAACAAACTCGTTGAATCAAATGATTGCGGAGAAAACTTGTCGTCTATTATCCATCGTATGAAAATAATACTTTTTAAGGATCAAAATTAAGACAGGGTTTATGATTGAGAAAAGTTCTAGGACCCAATTTACATGTGACACAAATTCTCTAATGCTCCGGTTGTTTAGTCTGTCGAAACGAGAAATATAAATTTGCAAACACCTCCATTTGAATTTAGTAATGTGCAATTAACGCCCGGTGGAATTGACTAATATTTAAAACATGTGTTAGAAATTTGCCTCAAAACATGTGGGATAAATATTTAGTTGTTTACATTGTCCCATGGATGTGGTTGGAATAAGATGGGATGGGCGATAAGGACGTATTGAAATACGTCGTTTAGCTTTTTGCATGCTTGTTCATGTTGGTTATACAGATACTTTAGGCTAGTTATACTTAGCAAAATCATTACCTAACTAATCGGTTTAGTGCCAATAGACCCATTGCACATGACGTCACAGCGCCGGCGACGATGCATCTGGAGGACAAATTAGCATTCAATGCATAATATAACTTTGGTAAACAAAGCAAATTTTGTAAAAGTTTATAATAATTTTGTATTAAAATGGTTCATTTTTGGGCTGTATGTATGTGGTTGTTGTACCCGAGCAGATATTGTTAGGGAGCATCTGGAGGACACTCTAAGGATTTGTGACGTCAGTGCAAAGGGTCTATAATATGAACAAGTTTTCATTGGTAGGCATGCAACTACCTGAAAAATATAAGGAGAATTTCGACGTTTTGAGCCCTTCGTCTGAAGTTACTGGAAGGGCCTTCGCTCGAAACGAAGCGGGATATTGCTGTCGAAGGATATTGCTGTCGAAGGATATTGCCGAAATGAAGGATATTGCTGTCGAAGGATATTGCCGAAATGAAGGATATTGCTGTCGAAGGATATTGCCGAAACGTTCTAGACGAAGGGCCTTCGCTCGAAACGTCGAAATTCTCCTTATATATATTTTCAGGTAGTTGCATCCCAACCAACGAAAGCTTGTTCATAACTATTAAATACACCCCTTAGGAAAGTACGTCATTTACTTTGGCCACAGAGACTCGTTTTCATGTATGTGGCTTTCATAGTTAAAGTCTATCATCTCAATGACGAAAACGAGGCTCTATATGGCTGCCAAAGTGACGTACTATATCTGGAAGGGTGTATTCTGTTTATATAGTTCCATGAGTTCTTGTATATTCTCCCTGAAAATTCATTTCCAGGGAAATATATTATATTTAATATTTCCAGGGAAATTTTTTATTTTCTCATTTGAAAGAACTTTTAAGTACTAGATAAAACATGAGCAGCCTATCTGTATCTGATATACAAACCCGAGCCGAAGGCGAGAGTTTGTATATCAGATACAGATCGGATCTGTCTGTCGTTCCAATTGAAGTGTTCCTCAAATATTGATTCAATACATTACCTCAAGCTGACCAATTCATTTCATCAAATTCCTCGAAATATTCATACACTTCCTGTGAGAGCCAATTCCAAGAATTTGATCATTTCTGGTCACTTCCTTTCTATTTATGATTGGTTAGTTGCACAAACAACAAAGGTGATTGGTGCATTCAAACTATTCAACAGGAAGTTTACAATTATACTATAGGAAGTGTATGAATATTTCGAGGAACTCGATGAAATGAATTAGTCAGCTCGAGGTAATGTATTGAATCAATATTTGAGGAACACTTCAACTGGAACGACAGTAAAAAATTACCCATCTTATGAGTTTATTGCGAAGTAATTTTAAAAATAAACATTGTCTAAGCCGAGAAAATCAAAGCTGAAGTTTATGTAAATCAGGACAATTCTTTATCCGATTTACAAACATTGATTAAACATTCATTTCTTTTGTATTTTCCTCGTGAATTATTAATGAATTTTTTAAGACGTAGACTATATATAATACTCTTTTACCGTTTTTTTTCATATCTTGCTTACTTCTAGAAATATTTTGATTGAAATGTCCGCCAATATAATCAGACAACTGCATATTGCATGAATCGAAGCTCTCGGTTGCAGAGATGATAAAAGACGCATGTACTAAACCTCAAACCGTCAAAAATATTGTACATTGAAAGCAACATTTCTTTTGCATTATTCAAAACAAACTTCGGTCATAAACAACGTTACAAGAATCGCACCTCGGTTAGAGATATGAAAGACACATATGTGCACAGTCAGGGTTCGTCCAAGTCAGGAGGAGTCAAATTCAAGGATTTTTCAAAGATTTTCAAGGTCATGTATCCGGAAATCCAAGGACTAACGGTTGAAAAGAAGACGTTGGAAATCAGTGAAAAGTGGCGTTAAATTGTTCAAACGGCAACTTTAATGAATTGAAAGATATGAACAAAATCAGTTTACAAAAATGTCCAATTCTTAATGCCGAACAATTTCAGAAAATATCAACTATAAACAATGAAGTACTTCTTTATAAACTCAAGGACTTTCAAGGCCTTGAATTTGTGTTTCCAAATTCGAGGATTTTCAAGTTCTGTACGAACCCTGTGCCCTAAGCAATGTGTTATCAGACTTACCCAAATAACATTTTTCTTCCATTTACGACGATACCATAACGCGTGTTTTTGTGTCGTAGTTTACGAGCCATATATGGAACAGACAGCCAAAGAAATGCACTCCATGGTAGTGATAGTTTAACCAGTGCTGAACGCGAAATCCATTTCTTTTTCCCCAACTGTAAGTAAGATGATATAGTGTTGTTATGTGATGCTGGTGAATCTGGTGATGGTAGTGATGATGATGTTGGTAGTGGTGATGATGATGTTGGTAGTGATGATGATGATGTTGGTAGTGATGATGATGATGTTGGTAGTGATGATGATGGTGGTGATGATGGTGGTAGTGGTGATGATGATGGTGATGTTGGTAGTGGTGATGATGATGTTGGTAGTGGTGATGATGATGATGATGTTGGTAGTGGTGATGTTGGTAGTGGTGATGTTGGTAGTGGTGATGATGATGTTGGTAGTGGTGATGATGATGATGTTGGTAGTGGTGATGATGATGGTGGTGATGATGTTGGTAGTGGTGATGATGATGTTGGTAGTGGTGATGATGTTGGTAGTGGTGATGATGTTGGTAGTGGTGATGATGTTGGTAGTGGTGATGATGATGGTGGTGGTCATGATGTTGATAGTGGTGATGATGTTGGTAGTGATGATGATGGTAGTGATGATGTTGGTAGTGGTGATGATGTTGGTAGTGGTGATGATGTTGGTAGTGGTGATGATGTTGGTAGTGGTGATGATGTTGGTAGTGGTGATGATGATGTTGGTAGTG